ATTATCTTTTCGAATTCATATTCAAGGGCAACAAAACTGCTATTTTCGAATTCTTATTGGATCAGAGAAACACCGAGTCTTATTGGATTACTCAACAGATTCAATGTGCGCTTTTCAACGCTTTCGTGGAATGCAAATGCAAACACTTCAATGCAACAAATGTGAATGCAACAAACAAGCACTTCAAAAACTTCAATCGATCAATCGGAATGTATTTTCGGACTCCTTCTGAATCCTCTCCCCAGAAATCATTGAGCAATATGGCAGGTTAGCCCAAAACCTGTGTGCTCGCCAGATCACTAATCCAAGTTCGAAGTTCATGATAATAGATGATTTCAAACGCTCTTATCGTGAACTGCGCGGAAAAAAAGAACGCTGAGGAAGAAAGCATGTGTTATTAGTGGCATTGGTGATAACAGAGAGGCGTAAACTCGTAATTAGCTTGATTTGCTGATTAAATAAATAATTGCAAACACTATCAGCCATGTTTGCATGACAATATCACTGAGCAGCGTATCTAGCTTCATCATATTCGGCAATGATGATTGAACGAACAGCATCGTTGCCTCGGTGAAGTACAGCAAACAAACGAACGAACGATCATCTGATAAAGATGAACGTCTTGCTTATCAAACCATAACTTCAAACTAGAGCGCCCTATATTAGCAAACAAGAAATCACTAGCAATCGCCGACTGAATGTAAGCATCAGTTTTATTGTTAATGTTACATTACCGACTTCAGCAATGCAGCAAACTGCACACTCTGAAACATTGATTTTAATGATATCTTCGTTATGAGTCTCTTGTCCCTTCAATTTTATGTTCTAGATTTATTGTAAGATATGAATGTCGCAATAACTTATTTTCGCTCTATCTTCGCACCAATTTTCAGCAATTACAAATATTTTTCAACATTGTGATAAGTCCAGTGTTTCGGTGGAACTGATAGAGCCATCATATCGTCGTCGCCACAGAAACTAATCTCATCGGTGAATTCAGTTTCACTTCAACTGCTGGAAGTTTTTGTCTTATACCTTCGTCGACTATACCTGAGCGAAAAAAGCACACGGTTACTATTATTGTCGGTAACAGTGAAACTGATTATATCTCGATATTTCCATCTGTTACTGATACGAATCCTAATAAGAAAGGCTCTCAGAAAATAACGAGTTATCAGCCGTGTTGGTGCATAGGCATGCTTCCTCTCTTAGTATCCTCAAAAGTTGATCCACCAGAGTTCTGATGATTCTTATGTGTCCAGATTCAATAGAATTGTTTAGAATCTGAATTCCAATAGAATTTATTTCCGATATTTGAATGCAAAGACATCACCGAAAGTTCGAATGCAAATTCCAAATCAACATCAGCTTCAGTTTACATTCCAACCGAAACTATCTCCATCATTTCTATTTCTAACTGTCAGAACTTCTGATAGATTATATGTGCCCATACATTCCAGTGATCCCAACGGCAACAAGGCTACGATGCGAGGTGCTGATCTTCCAGGTGATCCGAGCGATTCAAGACTCGAGCGTCTCAAATGTCGTCTCAATCAGAAGGTGCGCTCATCTACTAAATGTGTTAAAGTCACATCATGCATCCACTTATTTCCTTCTCTCCGATCGAAATTCAATGCGCGACACTGCGCCTCGATGTAAATTGGTTACCTGATTTCAGAATATTATGTTAGGCGCATGTGCACTCCATGGAATTTTCACTCTGGCCGTCTTAATCTACTTCACACTTGCTGTAGCAATTGGAATAGTCGCTATGATTGGTGTGATGTTAATCGCGTACATTTCCTTCGGTGTTTGTGTTATGACCGGCAAATCAATGTTTTTCATACCACACTTTGTCTACCTTGTAGGTTCCGTTGAATTGATTGATTCTAATTGTGATTCGTACATTGATTTGTGTTCTTTGGATCTTTTTTTATGAACAAGTTGAGCTTTTTGTTTGAAAGATTTCATGCAGCTGAGTCATTCGAAGGCATGAAGATCCTGGAAATCAACAATAAATTGAACTTTAACATTGCGCAAGTGAGTTGATGGAAATAGTGGGAGTAACCATGCAGTGCTCACTTCCCATAACTGACCCTCGCAGGTAGATCAGTTCTGACTAGCGCTTGGAGGAAGAAGGCGCTCGTATTTCGTCGTCATCGGTCAGCCACCGGGCGAAATAAAGCATCTGATCGAATGTGATGAAGAAATAACATCACCAAAGTTTTGTTGTAATAAAATTTTGAAAATTGAATGCTGCACGTGATCAGATTTCTGTGATTTACTCCAAATCCAGCCTTCAGATTGTACTCGTCCTAACTCATATCATTGGATTATCAATCATTGCAACAATAATAACTATTCGCAAAAGTTACGCTCACTTATTCGGTACGTTCTTTTTTCCATTGCCATCTGACGATTTAAATGGTAATCTATGATAGATTGTCAGAAGATCACTGAGATCCTCTTACTAACATGTTACTGGAATAATTGTTCAGAATCAGCCTATTTCAGAAATCGATCAAGCCAACGGGTACATCGCTGAACTGGTTCTGCTTTCGTTGAATCTTCTCTTCACTCTGATTATGATCTACCCAACCTACGCGCTCTATCGTGTTGCAAAAGCATCTGTAGAATCACCTTCTGAGATTGCAAAGTACGCAACTGAAATTCTTACGTATGAAGATCGATTGTTTCCGTTACAGTCTTCTAATCGTTTTGAGGAAGACTGCACCGATCGGAACTGCACTGGAAACTTCTTATCTTATTTTCTTATTTCATTCATGTTTTCACTCGTGCCGCATGTGTTGGGTTGTTGTTGCCAAATGAGGCATNATTCATCATAATGTTTGCGCTCATCGTTTCCTAACCAATAGTGCAGTGAAAAGCCGAACTCCAAACCAACTGCATGTCGCATGGTGCTGCATTCGTTGACTCATAATAAGCGATAAATACAAATGAAAACAATCAAGTTCAAGCTGTTATCGATATTCACGAAATTCATTATTTTGACGTTTTGGTGTATGTGCTCATCGGCCTTGAGGCAATGCAAGAATCATTCTTTGGCCATAATTACAATACTTTTTCTTAATTGAATGTCCAAATACTCAGCGAGCTGAAAATGATTTGCATACAATTTGTTTTACTGCAGTGATGTGGCCGTTCTACGTGGTCAGTCCGCACTGTGTAACGATTATGCGAAATCACCTCCTGTAAACGGGATTCAACACAGCGGTGTGCATCGTGTTGATCCAGCACCGGTCTGTGATGATGTACCAGTCGAGAACGATTCAGTGTGGGAACGGTATAAGCGTCAATCACTATCTGAGGACAATAAATGCGATAATTTCCACCAACTCTACCATCACTGTCCACCAATGGTCAAAAATTGTGACCCGGACACCGGCAAACCGTATAATGAGCGAGCGATCAATTAACTGAAAACATTCCCTACAATGTTTTCACGATGTATTTTCTATTTTTTCTTCCAAAGCTTCGAAGCAACATTAAATAAACGATCGCGAATGTGAAACGCTTCGTGTCCTGTTTCACTGTTAGCAGATAAGAGTGAAACTTCATGACTGAAACTGATAGTACCATGCTTGTGTGAATAAATTTGTTCATTTGATTGAGTTGTTGTACAAAAGTCATCTGAATAAGGGAATCGCTAACACATTTTTCATTCGAAGCTTGATTCGACTGAAAAATGGGTTAGTTTGTTTCCTGCAGGAATGCCCTTATGGATCGTTCCTATGTGTTTTCTCTGAGAGTCATTTTCATGAACACGAGGAAAGGATGAATTTGAAACTGACGATCATTAAAGAAAACAACTTTGATTGATCGCTGTTTTCGTTCGCAGCTAAATTCTCCAAGCAATTAGTTTGAAAAACGAGTATTTCAACAGCCTGTTGAATTTCCAAACAAAAAACAACGATAATGTCTTAGCAACGAAACAAGAAATGAGTGTTTCACCGCGTTCTCATTTGATATTTTGCTTT